TATAGAAAGCAGACTGCAGGTACATTTTTTGTCTCGCTGTGACGAAAGTTGCAATATGCAACACACAGGGATTCCTATCCAGAGGCAATTACATAAACTACATATGTATTTATATAAAGCTTTATTTCACCATGAAGAAGACATGAATGCTTCATATCTTGTGTGCAGATGATTTGTAGAACTAAGTTTCCGTCTGTCATATGTCCATTGTCCTTGACCTTATCTTCATGGTTCAGTGACTGCTCTTTTTTTTTTTTGTCATGTGAAATACTCACTTGGTAATAGAATATATATTTTGATACGCCCGTTTATTGGACGTATTATGGTATACCATTGTCCGTCCGTCTGTCAGTCCGTCGTCAACATGTCGGACAATAACTCAAAAACGCTTTTACCAATTTGCATGAAACATATGTGAATTGTTTATAACTATTGACGTGAGCTCCCTTTCGTTTTTTATGAATTTTAGATTTTAAGTGTCCAAGTAATGGGGGTTTTATTCATTAAAAAGGGTTTTTTCTTCCAGTTTTTGGACAAAAACTCTAAAACACATTCACCAATATGCAAGAAACTTTGTTGAATTGTTTATATCTTTTGACATGAGCTCCCTTTCGATTTTGATAAATTTTAAGATTTTACATGTCCGAGTTATGTGGTTTTATTTATTAAAAAAGGGTGATTTTCCAGTTTTCGGACAAAAACTCAAAAAACACTTCCACCAATTTGCAAGAAACTTTGGTGAATTGTTTATATCTATTGACATGAGCTCCCTTTCGATTTTTATAAATTTTCTGATTTTACATTTCCGAGTTATGTGGTTTTATTTATTAAAAAAGGGTGATTTTCGAGTTATGTGGTTTTATTTATTAAAAAAGGGTGATTTTCCAGTTTTCGGACAAAAACTCAATAAACACTTTCACCAATTTGCAAGAAACTTTGATGAATTGTTTATATCTATTGACATGAGCTCCCTTTTGATTTTCATAAATTTTAGATTTTACATTTCCGAGTTTTGGGGTTTTATTTATTATAAAAAGGGTGGTTTTCCAGTTTTCGGACAATAACTCAAAAAATGCTTTCAGCATTATTCATGAAACTGGTGAATTGCTTATATCTATTGACTTAAGCTCTCTTTTGATTATTATAAATTTTAGAGTTTACGTTTCCGAGTTATGGGAGTTAATTCATAAAAAAGGGCTGATTTTCCAGTTTTCGGACAATATCTTTAAAGTGCTTTCATGAAACTTTTGTTTATTGGTATATAGGATCCTTGCAAGATCTACATGTCCGTCAGACAACCTGAGAGTTCACCTGACCTCGACCTCATTTTATGGATCAGTGATCAAGATTAAGTTTTTGTGGTAAAGTCTATATCTCAGATACTATAAACAATAGGTCAACCATATTTGGTCTATGGAATGATTGTAAGTTGTACATATCCGACTGACAGGTTTCATCTTGACCTTGTACTTGTTTCGTTATTCATTAGACAATGTTATATTTTTGTGGTTTGCTCTTTTCTCGGACAATATAAGCAATTGGGCAGCCATATTTGGTGTATGGAAAGATTGCAAGGAGAACGCTTTTGTCTGGGAGGGTTCATCTGACCATGACCTCATTTTCAAGGATCTTTGGTCAATATTAAGTTTTCTTCGTTATGTCTATTTCTCAGATACTATTAACAATATTTCAACCATATTTGGTGTGTTAAATGATTGCATGGAGTACATAATGCCTGTCAGAGTTCGTATAAACTTGACCTCATTTTTATGGTTCAATAGTCAATGTTCAATTTTCGTAATCAGTAGGTCTGTTTATCATATACTTTAAGCAATAGGCTAACTTTAGTGTATGGTAGAATTGTAAAGTGTATATGCCTGTCTGGCAGGTTTTATCCGACTTTGACATCATTTTTATGGATAATTTATGTTAAATTAATGTTATACATATATTAAATCTTCATTGTACAGACTTTCAACATAAATCCAAGCATGATAAGTAAAGCAGTATTGCATCGTGTGCACTCTTGTGTTAATTTATATCCGTTCCAGATTTCTGAAAATTATGATGATCGATCAAAGTCCGTTTTCAGAGACAAAGAAGCTGTGAAATGTCTATCATCTCTTCACGATAAATATGTTGTTGTTCTTGCGGACAAAGCTTCAAATAATATTGTTTTTGTATGTAAATCGTACTTCTATGAGTGTCTTGTAAATGAATTAGGATAAATGAGCACTCCGATAATCCCATATACAAAAACATATCATTTGACAAGGATGAGATTTTGGCAAATCATAAGTCCTTCATGGTTTCAATGAACATTACATTCAACAGCAAATCTGAGGATTTACCCTGTTTGTATTGGATACCTAAGCTTCACAAAATTCCGTACAAACAACGGTACATTGCCAGTTCATCTGTATGTTCTACAAAGGAATTGTCCATTAGATTGACAAAAATTCTGTACGCAGTGAAAGAGGGTCTTCAGAAATACCACAATTCCCCATGTGAAATTGAAAAATCGTCTATGAGAAATAATCCACAATGCTTTTCAATATAAAAATGGTAGCATACGTTATAAATTTATTGCTTTGGATACCATACGGCATATTTTGTTAATAGTGAACAAAAAGGTAAAACATGCATGCTACACAGAGGAACAAGTGATCAGTATGCTTGATTTTCTCATTGATAACATCTTTGTTGAATTTTGAGGTAGACTTTTTCAGCAAGTTGTCGGCATTCCTATGGGAACGAACTGTGCGCCTCTCCTTGCCGACCTCTTCTTATTTTCATTATATGAATTTTTGACGGTTTAACCTATTATGCCTGTTTGTTTTGATCACACATTGTTGTCAATATATTGGAATTCAATGCGACTGTCATACAAGTGAGAGGTTTAGCTAGCTATAAAACCAGATTTAATCCACCATTTTCTACATAAGGAAATGACTGTACAAAGTCAGGAATGTGACAGTTGTTTTCCATTCGCTAGATGTGTTTGAGCTTTTGGTTTTGCCATTTTTTTAAGGACTTTTCCGTTTTGAATTTCCCTTGGAATTCGGTATTTTTGTTATTTTACTTTTTAGCACTTGTGGATACACACAGAAAAGCCCAAAAGAGAGCATTTTTTCGTTGCTTGCCTTTGCAATCATAATAATCAAATTTAAAACATCTCAACTATTTCTTTTCGTCTATTATTATTCCAGAAAACGTCAAAACTCATCATTTTCGTCTTTGTCTACGTTTTTTCAACGATCATCAGGACCAAATCACAAGCAAAGAACATCATTTCGCATATTAACCTTATCCCCCGTGATGTTAAATCATATACGAAGACATGTTTTACATATAACAGCTGCCAGGGTTTACACTGCTGGAACAGTTTTTATACATTTGGTTTCCGGACAATAACTTTAGTATAAGTAAATAGAAATCTATGAAATTTAAACACAAGGTTTATAACCACAAAAGGAAGGTTGGGATTGATTTTGGGGGTTATAGTCCTAACAGTTTAGGAATTAAGGGCCAAAAAGGGGTCCAAATAATCATTTTTCCAGTTTCCAGACAATAACTTGTGGAACGGTGTATGGATCTCTCTGAAATTATACCACAAGTTTCCATACCACAAAGGGATGATTAGGATTGGCTTTGGGGGGTAATGGCTCAAACCGTTTAGGAACTATTGGCAAAAAAGGGGGAAAACAAGGGTTTCCTTGTTAATGGACAATTACTTTTAAGTATAATGTTTTGTGTTTGGATTACCTCCCTAACACTGCTTTTAAATTATGTATAAAGAAATGTTGTATTGTCTTGAGGTGATTAGCTGTCAATTTATTTTTAGAAGTTACTATTAAAAATGCTGATTAAGGAATATTAATTTTAGACATGTTTTGTATGTTATTTTCTATTTTAAGACTTGTATGATGTATTTAAATGGGTAATTATGGTTGCAAACCCCATTGGAAATTTGAGATAATGACCATATCTTGAGGGAAAGAATTTTCTTTTGGAAAAGGGAGGGAGGGGGCATTTTTTTTCTCATTTTAGATTTCAGAAATTAAAAAGAAAATTTCTTCAAATATTATTTTTTTTTGCAAAAACAGGGGGGGGGGGGGGGGGGGGGGGTGAATTTTTTTTTTTTTTTTGGGGGGGCATCAATTTGCAACAGCATAGTGTATTGCATAAAAGCAAAGTATTGAATATAAATTCAAATCATATAACCAATTCTAAGTTCTTTGACTACAGTTATTCTGTGTCAGAAACCTATTAGGTGTCAAATATTTAATTACAATCCCAATTCAGACCTGTATCAAACGAGAATATTGTAATCCAAATTCAGACCCATATCAAGCGCGAATATTGTGTCCATTTTTGCCCCAACTGTTCAGGGTTGGACCTCTGCGGTCGTATCCAGCTGCGCTCGGCGAAGCAATTTATTAGCATCTATGGAGGAACGCTGCTAACCCAAAAGCAGTTTTATGTTAGAACTGGCATTGCCCACTCAAATGTCTTAAATTGTTCGCGTAGGTTTTAAGAGGCAGGTTTAACGATAATAAACCTTTATAACTATTGTAAACACTAATAGGGTAGATTTTTCAACATAATTGATGGATGTTGGACGAATTTTTGCGTTTAAAATTCAAAGAAATTGCTACGTTAAACTGCAAACATTTATTTACTGTTCCGACTGTATATATTTTTTGAAAAACCTCAACAAAGAACCAAAATAATAGAAATTAAAAGCAAATTGGACACATAAATCAAACTACCAGTAAATTTCTCTTTTTGATGATAATCAATTCATAAAGTATATGACCGCATATCAATTATATTGTAAATAAAAACAAATGAGACAGTTTTATTTAGGAAACGTTCTTTGAAGCTAATACAGAAGTTAACATTTAACATTTTTGTTAGGCATTCATCAACGTCAGCAAATTTTGAGTCATTTAATTGTTTGGGAATCTTTTGTAACGCCACGTCTCCTTGCATTCGAGCCTAGTACAAAACGCTTGAAAGAAAAGATGTAATCGTGGTTGTAATAAAAATCCAACACTGATATTGTCTGAACATATAAATTCAAGGATACCACAGTAAACCTATATAAACTCGCAAGTTGGCAATTTCCTGACCATCTACTTCTTTTATCATTAATTCAAAGTAAGTTATTTTCATTATTAGAATAACAAATTATAGAGTAAACAGTTTAGTGTAATGAAAAGAATAACACTTAAAATGTTATTTTTCGACACTCTCCGCAAAAATAGACTGTAGAAGGTTGAAGGTTGGCGCCTATGAAAACGTTTAAACCCGCTGCATTTGTTAGCACCTGTCTTAAGTCAGGAACCTGATGTTCAGTGGTTGTCGTTTGTTGATGTGGTTCATAAGTATTTCTCGTTTCTCGTTTTTTATATAGATTAGACCGTTGGTTTTCCTGTTTGAATGGTTTTGCACTAGTCATTTTTGGGGGCCATTTATAGCTTGATGTTCGGTATGAGCCAAGGCTCCGGTTGAAGGACGTTCTTTGACCTATGATGGTTTACTTTTACAAATTGTGACTTAGATGGAGAGTTGTCTCATTGGCACTCATACCACATCTTCTTATATCTATGTAAACCGTCCGAAAAGTGAAATCTAAAACAAACACAGAATACTAGAACTCCAATCAGCTACGAAGCAAAGAAACGATCTTTGAAACAGTAAGATGTGCGGTAAAAATGAAAACAACACGTTATAAATTTCATGCATCCGAAGCGCTTTTCTAAATTTACCTTCATCAGGAACGCTCAATGCCAAATGTTTGAAAGCCAAGGATGTATAAGAATCGAAACAGTTGAAGAGCTATATACGACTGAAAAGGGCATAAAATAGCCAAATCCATACAAGATTAACTCTGCCTGAGGTAGTTGAAACCTTATTTTCTAAATAATTTCAATATTTATAAACGGACATTTTTAGAAAGGTTTGTTATAAATCATGTCTGTACCGAAGTACGTTTAATTTGTAGGAATATTTGTTTTATCAAAAAATTACTTGCTTATTTCAAATATGCAATCATTTATTTAATGTTCGCGTTGATTGTGTTATTCCAGATCCACGATGAAGTTGCTGATTGTTGTGTTGTTTGTTGCAACCTTTATTACAGGTGAGTAATTTATCCGTATATATTCAGTTATGCAACAATACACAATTGATTGAGGATCTATTAATTCCTCTTTAATATTTTCTGATCCTAATTATGATAATGATAATCATTTTATTCATGATAAAGTATTATTATTATCACGCTACTTATATTTAATTTTCTATGATTTATACTTCAAATTACTTTTCTGACATTCACAGTTGGAAATCGTTATGTACATAAATGCATTCACGAAATTACATCTTTTTTCAACGTCCATACCTCATCCATATCAACAGCAACAACTGCATTCAAAATAATAACAGAAATCATGATAACCATCACTATCGCGGTCACTGCGAACACCTTCATTACCTCCTACCTGTCGTCTTCCTAAAAAATCCTGAAACGCTATCAAATGAAAATAACTCTTTGCAAATTTTTCGATTTATCTTCATCGCACACGCTACGCCAAAAATGTTTAAAAGCGAAGGAGGTAAAAATACACAAACAAGTTAGGAACGATATGACCAAACGGACTTAAAAAGAATATCCAAATTAACCTTAGGTCAAATTTACTTGATAGAGTTTCCAATAAATTTCTTAAAAGAGAAATGAGCTTAACTTCTGTATTTGCTAGTCAATCAAAGAATTAACGCTTTATTTAGATGAAGGTTCATATCAAATTATATTATAATGTACAATAGTTCATTCGACTTTCTTTTGTAAAAGTGTGAGGGGTTTCTACACATACCCTACTGGAGTATTATGATAAACTTTATTGTCTTAAAGTATATAAAATACGGCTTGCGATGAACAAAACACAAATGAAAAAAAAAAACCATATATACAACAAATATTTTAATAGTCAGTAAATCAAGAGTCTCTTGTTTTCAGTTCCATTGACCGTTTTAAAAAGGAACATAGGCTTTGTACCTGTTGAAAACTTGATGGATTCAATATATAATATACAATTGAAATTCAAAAAGTCAGTGTTTTAAGAGTCAATTTCATTAATTCAAGCGACTTTTCTTATATTTTTATTTCTTTCACAATGGAAAAAGAAATGAAATTCATCATCTATATCATTAGTAGAGCAAACATTACATAGTCTTAAGATTTCGAGGTACTTTTTTTTTAATATCAAAGACATATAATACAATACACCAATTTCTACATGAGGAAAATTTAATGTCTGTATGAAGTCAGGAATAAGACAGTTGTTTTCCGTTCGTTTGATGTGTTTGAGCTTTTAATTTTGTCATTTGATATTTTTGTTAATATACTTTTTTCATATAATGTATTATATTATGTCTGTTTATATCTACCCAATTCAAGTTACAAATTATAGTACTTCTGATTGGTTAACCAATTACACAACATATAACTCCACAGATAAGCAGATATGAGTATTTTGTTTCATTGGCTTACCAATCAAAATCATTATCTCCAGATTTAGATTTAAAGATATCCTCACGGCTTACAAAAAGGGAGAAGAGAGTTTAAACAAATTACAAAAAAGCATGAAAATTTTCATTTTATATATTTATCTAATTACTGGCCATACTGCATCTGGAATACAAATGAAAAAAAAAACTTTTGATGTACGCATATTCATATTACACACATAATTAAACTGTGAATATCCACCTTGGATCTGAAATTAATTCTCAAACTATCCTTCACTTTTTCATATAAAAGCATTTTTTCGTAACTTCGTTTGTTCATCGATCACACTAAACAACACTTCCTGACTCAAGAATGTCTCATATTCCGTTAAATTTTCTACGAATCTATAACTGGTCCTTTTTTTCTTGCTATGGAAAACGGATTATTACAGTTTTCTTGCACTTGACTAATTGTTTCGTAAAATAACCTTGTATCATTGCCTCAGAACACTATATTGTTGACAATGTATTAACTCTAACTGGGTGCGTATCTTTATCCAAAGGACTCTTAAAAACGAAATTCCACTCCTTTCAGATATAATATTCAAGGATACGATAAAAATCGTGAACTAACTATGAAATGGTGTTTAATATTCTTCGCCCTCAAAGGTCTCTGATGGAGCCCCACTGAAAAAGTCAAATAAAGATAATTAAAATGCATAAAAGCCGAATCAGTATTTTATACGATACCGTCCTGAACTTCATGAAACCAAACCAAACTTTATAAATATAAGAATCTTAACGTAAGTATGGTATTAATTCCGTGCTAACATTTTTATTCTATTGTCGTTTCTATATGAACGCAGACCTGGACGAAGACGCTTAGATTTTACCAAATGAGCCCTAACAGTACAAACATACATTATGCACTTTTGATTTTTACGACTTTTTAAACAAAAAATTCACTACAATAAAAACAAATAAAGGGAACAAAGCAATAATAAGACGTACCTTTATAGCCTTTGCTATATTTAGCTTTTCTTAAAAACAAGATGATGCGTTTTGAACTTTTCCAATATTCAAATCGTTGATGAAATCGACCCAGTGTGCATGCATAGTCTACCTCACTTTCATACTGGTTAATTCAAGCGATTGCCGCAGGCGATATCAAACCGCAAATTGAAATACTACCGCGGAAAAAAAACTAGTAAATCACGTGCTGAAAGTCATGTTGGATGAACGTTTTTCACATGTGATTACCACATGGCAAACGCATGGTTATGCGTGATACACGATATGAGGAACTAAATTGTACTCGATAGCACAGCTTTCTCGTGTAATTCAGTCCCTCATATCGTGTATCTACATAAAACCAACTGTTTGACATTTTGTAACTAGACCGTACCACATAAGCTAATCAGAGCGTTAAAAACCGACGTAGATACTGCGTACACAGAAATACAAATTACATACATAAGACAGATCATGCACAATACAGATAAACATATACATGTTATACATTTACATGTCAATAGATGCATGTCATACACAAGTTATTTAATACATATTAAAGAGTTCAAAATTAAGCACATATAATAAATGTATTAATAGATATAAGAAGATGTGCTAATGAGACAACTCTCCATCCAAGTCAAAATTTATATAAAAGTAAACCATTATAGGTCAAAGTACGGTCTTCAACACGGAGCCTTGGCTCACACCGAACAGCAAGCTATAAGTGGCCCCAATGTGACCTATCGAATAAGACTTATCACCGGGTTTGTACTTACATGAGCAACACGACCGGTCACAAATGTGGAGCAGGATCTGATCACTAGTACCCTTCCAGAGCACCCGAGATCACCCCGGTTCATGTTGACCCGTCTTTAGTTTTGTATATTGTGTTTTGTATAATATCTTTTGTTATTTTTCTTTTTTGCCATAGCGTTGTCGGTTTATTTTCGTCTTATGAGTTCGAATGTCTCTTTGGTATCTTTGCCTCTTTTCTATCTAAAGCACTAAAATAATGTATTCATTTATTAAGCTAAAGCACCAAAACATTATATGTACGCACTAAGCTAAACCAGTTAAAGAAATCTATTTGTCGTGTCTTAAGCTAAAGCTCTAAAACAGTATAAAAAGCTCAGATAATTGGAGCACACAAAACAATAAAATATTGATTCATGCATCTAGTAGATGAATAAACGACTAGAATATATGGCAAACACAGAAAAGAAAGAGGAAAACCATTAAAGCAACAAAAACAATTATTAAAGCAGTATCAACTCTACTCAACTCATTGCTGCCATAACTTCTTCCTCCTACTTTTATTCTAAAGTAAATCTGAACGAGCCTCAAGGGAGCAAAATGAGCACACCTAGTCGATAAACGAGTAGGACTTTCTGCAGTATCTTTGAAATAACTCATGAAAAAAATGCCTCCATTAACAAAAACATCCACACAACAAATACAGAAAGAAACTGATCCTGACAGTAACATGCCCTGCAGCAATGTCGATGCGCGGAAACATCCAGGCACCCTTAAAGAGTTTTCTTGAAACGATAAAACTTTAGGATTTCTAAACAAATATGAGAGACCTCACAGATGGCATATCCGTTCCAAATATTTTCCCAAAAGTTGAAAAATTCCATTTGAACTTTCTTAACCGCTACGTAGACATCAACGATTGACACGATAAGTCATAAATAACATATCAAGAAAGGAAATATACTTTTGGGTCCGGTTTCAAAAACAAAATGGTGGCTTACATTGACCGACATTTGCACAGGTACCACTCCACAGTTAGAAAAAGGTATTTAAAAGCACTTATAGGTCAATTTTTATGTAAATAGCATACCAAACCTTAGTTTAGAAACTCTCAAATAGGGTATAAATTTCTAACAGTAGTGGAACTTTAGATTTAATTCATGCCAAATTATAAAATCAAATCCTGCTAAAAATGTTTATTTGACTTATTCGCATGCAAAAGTATAAAGCGATATATTCTGAGCTTATTATATAAAGTGCAGTCTTTGGTTACAAGGGTGAAGCTAATGGAGTACAAATTTAAGACCGAACCATGACTTAGTGTCAAAAGAGGGACGAAAGATACCAGAGGAACAGTCAAAATGTTTACATTTGGTTGCTAAGGACAGTAAACAATAAAATTAACATGTATTGCCATCCCTTCAGAACTAAAATAAAATTTATCTTAAAAAGTGCATTTCTTTACTTTCTGATGTGCCATAAGGTAGCACTCCACAGTTAAAATATAAAATTAAAATTGAACCACAAAATGTTTAATCATCTACTATTCCTGGCTTTCTAATACATTAAGCCAACTGTTTATCATGTTTATGTCATACATGTGCATATGTATGTAATCAGTATTTTCCATAGATTTGATTTTCAAAAGAAAAAAATGGTGAAAAATAATTCCTTTTTTGTGTATCCATGGCAACATTCTAGATTCATTTACCATAAAATATTGCAAAAAAGGGACATAAAAATATCACATATTCCCCCAAAATTTGGTTTGAACTAGAATTTCAATGCATTTGGTTGATACTTTTTCTGAAACTGTTGACATTAATATACCAAATGATCAAATAAAAATTGGTAGTCTTTCGCCTCATTTTTTCGTAAAATTTGATCAAAAAATGGGAAAAACATTTCAATGATTTCCGGATCGATGTCTGGTATGGATATGAAAATACGGACTGTCATACAGAAGACAGCTATAATACATACATCACGCAATCTTGCTTGATGTTCCTTTAAACCCACTATGAAGGCTATATTATTCTTCAGCTATCCAAAAATGAATTTAATTTCACACTAGCTCTCATATTTGAAAAATCCACAGGGGCTAAAATGCGAAACTGCACACCCAACTTTGGATAGCTACCACAAAGGCAGTACCGATTGATGACGTCATGATGGTTACCCTCCCGAAAAATGCAATCTCAATTTTGTGCAGTTAGAGAATGCCTTCATGACAAGACTGGTGTCAGAGGCTTTTATATTATAATAATAATACTAATTATCAATATTATTATTATAATCATTATAATCATTATCATTGCTTTATATTAATCACTATTACTTATGTATACATGTTAACATATTGGGCAGAACAATTCTTTCAGTTTTGTAATATGACATTGAATCGTGCTTTCTTCTGACACTAAACGGAGTGTAATAAGGAAAAATTAGCTGATCTGTTTGGTATATCCCGATACGAATTGCGAAATTTCCATTGGCTATTTCTTTGGTCAATGATGGCTTTCAAATGTCACAACGGAAAAGTTTTCCTTCGTGACAATTAAGAAATGTTATTTTTCAATAATATACAAATTCTCACATTGCAACTTAAAGTCTTCTTTTAGTCAAATTTTATTATTGTAAAACGTACAAACCGCTTAATTTTGATGTACCGTGGACACCGGAAAAGGACATTTGCCGTGACCCTGTCCAGGTGCCAAAAAAAAAAGCCAAAGTCTTTCAGAATTTTTAATTCAACTGAAAGAAAAATGCAAACAACTCCAAAGATTTAGATATACCTTGATATCAACTCTCGTTAATAAGTTTTAATAATGATCATAAACTCACTAAAGGCTCTTTTGAAATTAAATAACTCGAGTTGATATCAAGCGATATCAAATTCTCACACGTCAGGAAACCTCCAAATAAACGTTTCTTGGTTCGAATATCAAAATACGGCAAAGTTATTCTTCAATATTTTAGAGAAAATGTTTCGAATGGTGCCATTCATTACACTTAAAATACATAGTAGAATTTCGTTATCTATCTAAGCTCCTGAAACGGAGCCATTAAATTTAATCCTCTTTGTTCATAATTTCATTAATTTTGAATTTGCCTAATTTACAGATTTCTTTTAACGATACGTTAAAACAATTTACTTTGACTATTACCATTCAACAGAAATTTAAGTAACGTTATACTATTAGTGCTTGCAAGTGCGTGATGATCGTGTTTCAATAGTAACATATTTTAAATTTGTTACATGCGTAGACTACTATCATTTTTTTAGTGCTTTTTTAGTTTGCTGATAATAGTTTGTAATTAAGAAAATTACTTCTAATAATGTAAAGACGTCTCAATAATAGTTAAAATAGTAGACACAATGAATAGGCGTTGATTTTGTCAGAAAGGTATTTTCCTCTCATGGTATCTTTTCATCAAACTAATGGTTATCCATTGTATCTCGAGTATTTATACATGTACCGTCGTATATGTACTTTTTATTACATCTAATGATGTGCTAATATGTGGCTCTATTGGTGTTTATTGGATCACGATTGAAATGATTGATATGTTGCGACACAGTTCTGTCCTTTGCTTGTTTTGAACTGTTTTTTTATACACTTTTGAAACTGATAATACTAGTAGTTTGCAACTGAAAGAGACTTAAAGCGCAACTTATAGTAATTCGTTAGTTTGTATAATGAGTATATTTGTTTTGTTTTTTTTTTAGGATTTCAGATCGTTGATTCGAGTCCTGCCCGTAATTCTTGTGGGCCATTTAACTGTTATTATTCTTTTGATTGCGGATTTGGTTATCCAGATTGCGTCAAAAACTGTAGGAAATACAAGGGATGTGCTACAGCAGAATGCATACAAAATTCATGGTGTTGCTGTAAGCAGTGTCCTTGAAAGTACAGAGAATAATTCTTGCATCACTAAAAGACATACGCCTGTTATGTTATGCGTTTTAATATTTTTATATTGATCATTTACATTTCAATAAGTTGCGATGCTCTTACAGACGAAAATACGCCTCTTGACAATAAGAAGGTCTTTCTGTTTATAAGGGTGTTAACACCTTGAACACTGCCATTTTGAAGATAATTGGTTAAAATACATCGGATTATCGTGCATATATAACATTTGAACATTCAGAAATTAAACAAAAGAAATCTTTTTGAAACAAAGCTGGTATTTAGAATTTCAAATGTTGTACCACCCAAGTTCTTTCTATTTAAACAACATTTGAAAGGAACTTACAAGAAACACATAGAAACTGTTATTTTTTTCTTATTTGAAAGTTTATTATACTGTTGTGACCTTGAACACTATCATTTTGAAGACAATTGGTTAAAATACATCGGAATATCATGCATATTAAACATTTGAACATTCAAAAATTAACAAAGAAATCTTTTTAAAACAAAGCTTGTATTTAGAATTCCAAATGTTGCACCACTCAAGTTCTTTCAGCTTAAAACACATTTGAGAGGAATTTACAAGAAACAAAAAGAAAATGTTATTTTTTTCTTATTTGAAAGTGATTTTCGTATAAACAAAACTGATGTTTATCACATTCAATGTACACAATTCAAGAGGGAGGAGGAAGGTACAGGAAACTTTAAATTTATTTGAAATATCATATTTTATGTCATAAATGTAGTTGATACCAATTTGATTACGTTTTGTAATATGTCAATATCTTTTAATCAAAAACATTTTGATTGATTGATAGATAGATGGCGTTTAACACAACTTTCAGCACTATGGGCTATTTCGTGGTGGTAAGTTTTTATTGGCGAAGGAAGCCAGAGTGATCGGAGATAACAATCGAACTTCGGCAGGGAAACTGACAATCCTACTACTGAGATCACTAGGCCGCCAAGGCCCCTCAAGCACAGTTTGAAAAACTACATTTTAAAGTCATACAGCTTTCTTAGTTAGGTATAAATCTGCTGGTCTAAGAATCCTTTGTCTGATCTAAAAATTGTAATCAATCATTTTCTCTGAATCAACTTATATAGTAATACATGTAATGGTTGTATTTATTTTGTCAATAATTGTTAAGTGGACAGAATATAACACTGTAACATACTGTTAAGAACGAACATGTTAATCTTAAAATTACGTTAACATACGTGATATTGTTTGGGTGGTACTGAAAGCAAGAAACAATTTGATTCCAATCATTTGATATAAGGCCTTCATGCAGGTCAGAGGCGAAGTCTCATAAACATTTTATTCATTCAAGTTTTGTGGATATGTTATGTATTTCCTAGGTGGCTTTGAATAAGAGAGGTGAAAAATACCAAAGGAACATTCAAACACAATTGGAAACATTTTCTCTTTAAAATTGAAGAATGTCTTTATTATATTTTGATATTAAAATCAAGAAACAGTTATAGAATATTTCAATTGTATTCTATTTCAAATGAGAGGTGAAAGATACCAAAGAGACATTCAAAAAGTCGAAAATAAACTGACAACCCCATGGCAAAAAAGAAAAAGATCATAAAAGACAACCAACAGTATACAAAACACAACATAGAAAACTAAAGACTGAGCAACACGAACCCCACCAAAAACCCGGAGGTGATCTCAGGTGCTCCGGATAGTAAACAGATCCTGCTCCACATGTGACACCGTCGTGTTGATCATGTAAGTACACATCAGGTGATAAATCTAATTCGGTAGGTCTCATTCGGGGGAAAGGAAGACGGGATTTTGGTTACGACGAACCAGATATTCCATAACGATCAACCAACTTGTGACGGCGTACGTAAAACTTTCGAAGGGATTTCAACTTTACCACTTGAAACTCTTGGTTTATTTGCTTCCTTGTGAGCAGCAACCCTCTATCAAGGAAATCATGATAGGAAACGCAAGCCCTGGGGTATCGTATCAAGTGGGAGATATATACTCCATATGCAGGCGCTGCTAGAATGTTGCTCCATAGAAATGGTAATTTCACAATTGGGAAGCAGAAATCATCTCTTTTGCCGTAAAGTTTTGTTCTCAACCGACCACCATTGTCAATTTCTAGATATAAGTCAAGATATGAGGCAGATTTAACTGCATCTGCTGTATTCCGTATTTCCAGTTCAATATTTGAATTATTTAGTGAGAAGACATCATCTATATAGCGGAAAGCGAAATAACCTTACATGAGATCAGATACAAAGATCAAAATTACTTTATTGACAAAAAAGGATCATCAAAATTGTTCATTAAAGAATACAAATAAATGTATCGTTGTCAGTTTTAATCCAGCTTTGTACAAATTTCTTGATTATTTTTCAAGTTTTACAAAAATTAGCTTGATGAATCATTTTTTTCCCCCCAGGAAGATATATGAAGTAGCGTTAATGAAATTTGTAAGTTTTATAAAATAAAAAATTAAAACATCAATCTAGCAATAAAAGACATGATAGAAAAGATGTATTCGTGGTTGTAATAAAAAGTCAGTAATGAATTGGTCTAAACATGGATTCAAGGTAACCAAACTGAACCTGTTTAAAGTCGCATGTTGGCACTTTTCTGGGCATTCTTTTTGTCATTTAATCAAAGTAAGTTATTTTCCTTTTTTGTATAACAAATTATAGAGTATACACAATTGAAAAAAAATAATGCTTTAAGTTAGACCTTTAAATCTCAGAATTTTGACAATCTTTGCAAGTGTAAACTGTAAACCGTCGGAAAAGGGACATAGAAAAAAAAATACATAGAAAACCATAACTTGGATCAGCAACGAATCATGAAATTTTTTTTAAAGTTAAAGTGCGTGCTTTATCTATTTGGTTGGAATATTCATTTGATCCAAAATTTTACTTGCTGTTTCAAATATATAACGGATTATTTAATTTTCGCCTCGGTCCTGTCATTCTAGATCAACGATGAAGTTGCTATTTGTTGTGTTGTTTGTCGCAACCTTTGTTACGGGTGAGTAATCATATATGTATCGATTAGTCTACGGAAAGGTATATATATATATATTTCCAAAAGACCAAAAAAGTAAAAAGTATATTTTAAAGTATATATTAGGTATGTTTTATAGGGGTCTAAATACAGCGCAAACAACATTTTCCAAAAGACCAAAAAAGTGAAAAAGTATATTTTAAGTATATATTATATATATATACAAGTCTAAATTGAAAACAACATCCAAACCTATGATTGCGTTGGATAAAAACCGCAACTTTTATACGTGTGTATGCAAAACAAATTTCTTGTTAGAGGAGTCTCAATACAGCACAAACAACATTTTCCAAAAGACCAAAAAGTGAAAAATATATTTTAACAAAACGCATTTGACTAACAGGTCGAACAACAGTTGTTCTTAAACCCTGCTGACTGCCATTTGCGTTTGCCAAATAAACGGATCACCGATGTAACAAATGGATCTTAATTATAAATTTAATACTTAACAGAATATATATATATATAAATATATATATACAACTCGTCTAAACATCAGCCCAACAATGTTAGACCTGTAAATTTGCTTTCGCAAATATTTATGTTCTTTCCTTTCCATAGACTACCGTATAGCGGGAAATTTTCGCGGGGTGTTTATTTTCGCTTATTTTGGCGGATGAAGGAAAATAACGAAACTAAATTCCTCAAAATTTATGCATACATTCGGTACTTTCTCATAGCTAAGGCGTTTTGTAAACGATCTATGCGTTTCCGGTCGACGAGTCAATAACTGTTTATGATAGTTTAAACAAAACAAATTCCAAAGTGCATTATTCACATATAATTTATGAAATTGCCGCATGTCAAGTGTTAATTAGTTAATTAGTGTCAAATAATATAAGAGTGTAGGGTACTCTGTCGGGTATTTACCCTTTTTAATTAGTGTCAAATTATGTGAGAGTTGCAAATTACTCGTAATAACTTTATAACCTAATTAGTACATCAAAGGTCAATTTCGTAACTAATCAACCGTAACATTTACAAGACGTTTTTACACTTGTGACAAATACCTAAGTACCGGTATTCTATTCATTAACTGTATCAAAATATAAACAATAGATAAGACGTCATGCAAGTAAAATAATCATTTAACTTTAACAATAGACACTTGTTTGTCTATTTTTACCAATTTTTAAATGTAACTATTTCCGATTCCACCAAAATATTTAATTGGGATTACAGAATCCGCCAAAATAAAAACCGCTAAATTTTTTCGTATAGTTTGTTGACCCTTAATCGCGAAATTTTACACCCGCTTAAATAACCCGCTATACGGTATCCAATTTAGCACAATTCGAGTACTGTAAACCGGGAATTTTACGCGCCGTCTTTATTTCGCGATTTTATACCATAATCTAAATTCGCGCCATTTTGAATTCGCGATTTCCATGTGACGTACATAAATATTTTCATAAATGATTTAGAAAGTGAACACCTTTACATGTTTTGTAAATCAAGTGATAAAATCACTCAGATATCTTTTGTTTTCGGTTCATTAATGTTAAAGGACATTAACAGTTGTGTCATGTTTGCTTGTAAAAACACATAGAAAATGAAAGGATATGGAGTAAATGTACATGGGACAAAAACGCACACAATACATTGAAAGCATAGAAAATTATCAATGACCAGGGCTTTTTTTCTGTTCTTCACTCTTACCATTACAGGATTAATGCTTATTAATCGATCTTTTGATTTGATTAATCTTTGTAGAAGATTCAACGAGGTAGTACTTTTAAAACTGATTGACCGGTGTCATTTACATATTTATATATATATTCATATGAATAGAGTTTCCGTGAAATTTTCGCGGTCCTTTTATTTTCTTGTTTCACTTCTTACCGCGAAAATAGCGAAAATAAAACTGCCGCGAAAATTTCCCTGTTTACAGTAATCTTTTAATTAGTCTATTGATAGTTCATTTTGACCGACTTCTTGTTTCACAGGTTTTTGTAAAACGGAGTTCATTATCGAAGTTTCATGTTTTGTAAAATTTACTCACTAGTATCATATTTGTTCAATTTGTGAAATAATTTTCCAGATCAATAGTTTATAAAATATATGTGATTTTAAAAGGCCCTTGAAGCCAGAATGAAAAGATGGTAACTCCTTGGTGTAAGTATGTTTATTAAGATAAAGAGATGTCTGCGTTTTTTACCAGGTAAAATGAAACAATAAATGTGCCTTTTACATGTTTTGTAAACATTTTTCAATTTCACAGTTAAAATTAAGGAAAACATATAGATAAATATGATCAAAAGATAGTCTAGCCGATAGACATTCAAAAAGCGAATAGCAATAATTCAGTTATAAGATTGCAGGTTTGGTTTTTTATATTTCAAAGTATAAATCAAAAACTTTATCAGAATAAAGATATTGGTGGCATATTTCCTTCAGGCATCACGTTTTTCAATTCATCATGAATTGAAAATCGTAAGAACGTAAAAAAACTGATCATCATCATCATCATCATCATCATCATCATCATCATCATCATCATCATCATCATCATCATCATCATCAAGTTGCTTGAATTTTCCTTCAAAAGGTACATAGTACTTTATATATATATATAAATGAAAGCGGTATTTTTGAAACCAAAATTTTTATAGCAAGATATGTAAAAAAAATTAACTACAGTAGTGTCCGGTAATTCCGCCCGTCCGATAGACCCGCCCACTCCCATTTACTTCCGTAATTGTCACTTCCGTGAGTAATTCGTCTGCTATTTTATTCATACTTCAACTTCAACTGTACTTATCA